TCCTATTAATATCATGGCACTTGAGCATCTATGGATTTTAGTATCCATGGTGGTTCTGGAACCACACCCCAATGGATACTGAGATCACATTCTAGTTCCATCACTAGCCTTCCCTTTAAAAAAAATCAGTATTTCAAACTGCAGGTACAGTAGGCAAAAGTTACCCTACAATGCTTTTGTAACACACTTTACATACCAGGAATGTTGTTGGAAATAGCAACCTTCTCAAGCTTCCACTAGTTATTTTTATGTATATAATTGTTTATTGTATTGTATGTGTGTATTGGTTTGCCATTTTACCTAACCTCTTTGTTGTGGGAGGGGCTGCAGACCATGTCATCAGGTCTGGGCATGTTCAGGACTTGAGACTCCATTTTAGATGCATATGTTTGCTTTAGACTTCAGTGGAGATAGGAGCCATTAGACTCTTAAAGAGAGTAGAAGCCACCTGTTTTTGCTTTGAGAAGCTATGTAGAGAAGTGTGTGTTTGCATCATAATAAATACAGTTATACAGTTTAGACTTCAGTAAGATGTAGCTTAAAGACTCAATTGGACTATGGACTATTGATTGTAAGGAAGATGCCCTGTGTTACCGACACAGAAAAACTACTGAGAATCCAATTGTAACTGGACTCATAAGCAATGTGCATGTATGCTGTATACATGCATTTTTTCTGAGTAAACCAACTCTGTTACTTTTAAAGAAGACTGTTTATTTTGGCTCTTTAGAACATGATTTAAAGGCAAATATATTTTAAGGAAGAGTAGATGTTTTGGGTCAACTAAAAGAACACTAAAACTGCTAAATATATGTTTTTGTGTACTGGCAAGTCTGTGTCCCTGACAGTTCAAAGACATTACTAGGTCCATTAGTTTAACAGCTGGGCGACCTAGTTGCCTTGCTTGAGTGCTGGTGAACATCACCTTTCACAAAAGGCTGTAACTTCTAACAAGGCCAGTGACCAGTGGTTTTTCAAAAAGGATATGAATCCCATTTCCCAAATGGTTATGGAGACTCACATTTTCAAAAAGGTTATTGCATCATTTTGCCAAAAACTGTAACATAAATTGCTCAATAAAAACTTTCAGTAGACAAAGACTCAAAGTAATCAACACAGTGCATCAGTATCTTTGCCAAAAAAAAGTTACACAGACAAACCTATCAATATCAGGAAAACAGAATCTTGAAAGTCAGTGTAGAAATCTAACAAATAATACCCATACATAGGCATACAAGTAATAAAACTAAATAACGGATAAATGACACCGAACATTCTGTTAATTGTTCCATATTCACAACTACAATCCTGACAAGTCACCATTATCTTATATTTTCACACCCATTTATTCCCCTATGTGGCCACGTTTGTCTACTTGGGGCTACTAGAGTAAACATTTTTGTTGGCAAGAGGCATGTTGATATTTCTAACACCCATTTAAAGAGTATGAAAATCAACCTTTTCCTAAAACCATTATAAATAATTAGAAGACCATTGAAAAATGAAACAGAAGCTTAAGTGAATATTCCTATTTCACGATAATGATAATTAACCCCCACTAACATGAATCTGTCATTATCAGGTTGTGCCAGTTATCTTCTTTGACCTTCTCTAGCCTCCACCTTGTTACTCTATGGTAAGAGTCAAGAAAAGAGACTCCAGCTGTTGTAACCTGACAGGAGGTAATTTACATTTGGCCTTCATTAAGAGAAAGAAAACATCATTGAGACCAAATGTATAAACCAGACTGGTAGAGGTTATAAAAAATTTAAGTGACACACATTTTTTCTCTTTCATCTGACAGTTGGTATTAAAAAGCTATATATATCATCCCGAACCACATAAAATCTAAACCAAAGAGAGGCCATTTCAATGTGGCTGTGTGAACAGTCTGCTTTACTTTAGGGAAATTTCATACAGATGAACAAAGTCATCATCCAAGGTAGTAATTCTACAGGTTTCGTGAAGGATTTGGATACCATAAAAAAAAGCATAGTAGTGACTCTCCACCATAAGCAAGAGTTCTTTGCACCTGCAAATTAGAGGAAAAATATCTTTGTGCCTATAAGCTATTACCTATACTTGTTGCTATTTTCCTATGTAGTCTCACCTTAACTGTTGAATAACCTTGTACATCAACATGACAAAACCCTCAAGAAGTCAATCAATCTATCTGCCTTATGGTATGAATCCATGTAAAATGTCTCTGTAATTTGCTCTTTAAATATCTCCAGTAAGGTGAATTATCTCATATCTCAAATACATTACAATGTCCTGAAGGGAAAAGGTTGATTGTTTGCAGGTTACCAACCATATTTTGAAATCAAGACAATATTTGTAGTCTATTTCTAGCTCAACCACTTCCAAACCTCCAAACTGATAAGTCAATAAAAGCTGGGTGCCCTTGAAGTAATGACAAATAGGGCACACCAAAGCTAACCTTCCTCTACTTGTTCCTACAATGTAGTCTATCAGAGACCCTTAGCATGTCCGAGATCATCAAGATTTACAAGAACTAATCACACAAATCACTACATGAAGGAATATTTAGTTCTGTGTATTTTAATATGTATTTTATAGAACTACCTTTTAATATGTGCATTTATGGAATTTTTACAATGTTCATGTGTTTTAATTATGCTGTAACCCACCTTGAAACATGAGGAGAGGTGGGTAAGAAATAAAATTATTATTATTATTATTATTATTATTATTATTATTATTGACCTATTAGGCAACTATAGCAAGAATTTGATCACCCTTACATTCTCAGTATTCTAAATATCACAGGGTCTTTACCCTGCACTATTTTAACATCTTCCCATCCACTCTATTGGAAGGAATCCCTATGTTCACTGTAGCTGCACTTCCCATCCACTCTATTGGAAGGAATCCCTATGTTCACTGTAGCTGTAGTTGTCAGACATAGCTTAAATGGTGGACCATGTTCTGCCACACTGCCCGCATTGTGCAGACATTTGTTCCTAATAGATAGACCCAATTCTGATGCAGTTCCCAAGCATGCCTGATGCTTTTTACAACTTATCTCAGATTTTTCTAAAGAAGCTATTCTGAGTGTTGCCAAGTTTGTAACTTAGCAGGTTCTACCAGAAGTAAGCTGATCAAATCCCACTGTGGTATGGCTCACATCCAGTGAATGCTATTAGGCTAGTTTTGGTACTGGTTACTGTACTGTCACCCACATATATATGCATAAATGTTCATACTTTTCTTTTTCTTTTTCCTTGCAACTATCTGGTTTGTGTCTGATCTCTGATTATCATAATAATGTATGCATGTATGTATGTTCATGTTGAATTTATTGAATGCTGGATAGACTAGATGTGCCCAATTCCCTAGAATTAAGTAAGCAGAGACAGAGTCGTTCCCCCCCCCCCCACCCACCAATTTGAAATGATCTGGCAAAATTGGATCTCTAAGACTCATGTGTCACTGAGCCTCCATCTGACATGTACCAAATGATCAAGTGTTCAAAAGCATCACGACAGCTGATGCTGTTGAGTTTTCCCAACTAACAAAGGTAACCACAAATCTATTTTATGCATGCTTATTTGGGAGTAAGCAGCACTGGACATGTGGAAGGGACTTCTACGTACACATTGTGCTTGTAAGAACCTTCATGTTTAAAGGTACTTCAGTGATAATGGACTGTAAAATTAATTGTCCCTTCTTGTGTAAGTCTTTGCAAGTAGGCAAAATTAATAATAAAAGGCCTGACAATGTTAATTGCCGCTCTCATTTAAAAAAAAAGTTGTGAGTTTCTTTCCTGTTGATCCAGTTTTATCTGAAGCCCTAATCAAGAAAGAAAGAAAGAAAGAAAGAAAAGAAAAGAAAAGAAAAGAAAAGAAAAGAAAAGAAAAGAAAAGAAATCCCTCTGTCTATTATTATCATGGCTGGCCCCATCCCTTTTGCCAAGGCTTGCCCCAAAAAGTCTAAATTTATTTACAGAACCATTGACTTACTAAGTTCCTATTCAATCAATAAATCTACCTTGGTTGCAGTTAAAAATTAAGATTTAGGCCTAAGATGTTCTGCTCCATCCTTACAATAATCTTCTTCAACCCCAGTGTTCTTCTTCAGATGGGTGAATGGTTAAAAACATGTGCTGTATAAGTTCATGCCTTCCTAAATAATTGCTTTCCATCCCTGAGGAAATATGTTTGCAGAAGAGCTTTAATGCCTAATGTTTCCCAGCTATTGCCCACCAGAGTACATGCTATTGCTATTTTTCCAATTTTTTTCTCTTGTGTTAACATGAAAACTTTACACATTCACACTATAGTAGAGCAGAATTAAGAGCAACATTGGGTTGCTCATGGAGCACTGGCTTTTTAGGCCACTAAGTCACCAAAACCATGAATTACTAAGAATCCATGCTGCAAACTTTGAGGTGGGTGAAAAACATCTGGAAACAGAACTAGTAACACTGCTCTCCAATGTACTAAACTGAAAAAGCTGGTGAACATTATCCATATTGTGCCCTCCAGCTACTTTGAGCTTGGATATGAACATTTTCTTTAGTTAGCAAATTATGGAAGCATGTTTTTATTTTTCTAAAGCCAAATATATGAGATGCCAGGCTCTCCAATGGAGAACAAAGGCACAATCACATCAGAAATGTAATGACTTGGAAGTAGCTAACGTAAAAACAGAAATCCTCAGAAGATTGTTCAAAGGACTCACTGTTCTTTGTTCCAACTATTGGAGATTGTACGGACTCTTTACTTCTCCTTCATGGAAATAGTTCAACATATTTAGAATGCTTTACTATCTTTGACTGTAAATTGACATCATCACTACTAAATCTGGTTTTGTAGAGTTGTAATGGATTGTGGTACCCATCATTCTGAGGCAGCATGGCGGATGGAAGTGAGGGGAGTTAGACTGCCATGTATTGGAAAAGACTGTGTGAAGGGTTAGTAGAATTAAAGTTAATTGACCAGCAACCAGAATTCTTTTGTTTTTTAAGATATACTCACTTCTTTCAACCACAGCAACTTTGGTGGCTGCATCTCAACTGACATTGCTCCTCCAACAAAACGCAAGACATTGTGATTTGTCCCATTGATACGTGTTACTTGATCGGCTGCACGATGATCCATCCACATGATGATGTTTCTGTTGCATTCTCCTTGAAAACACAACACCAAATTTACAATTAGTTTTGTTTCATTTAGCTATGTTGAAATCCACTCCCTGCATACCTTGCCTTTCTATTATCACGCAATTCAAAATATTGTGCATGAAGTTCTTCAGTGATTTCCCCTTGATGGAAAGACCAAGATCTTTTTAGTTTCAATGGAGGCAGGTTACTTTCCTGTGGCTGTGGTTAAGTATGTAGTACAACATATTGGTTAAGGATAACACAGAGAAAACATCTAGTTAGGCTAGAATTGGGGACGGGGGCCCTCTCAATGTCCAGCTACACTATTTCACCTTTAGTTTCATTTTCTGACTAATATAACACTAGAAAAGTGGGAAACAGCTGAACAATATCTATTCTGAGGACAGGATACTTCATATGACTACCAGATGAAATTAGGAGATTCACAGTTACATATCTTTCTCCTTTGTTGTCTCTGTGGGTAAAGAGGAGCAAACTTATGATCCAGAGTTGGGTGACTTTCTGGAATGCCAAAGAGCTGGCAACAGCTCTTTTAAAAGAAGCATAGGCCTTGGACCAGACATTTAGCCAAGAGCGACAGATGAATGCTGAAATCTGGTGGCAATTCTGGCTCAATGAAGGAATTAACTGAATGTATTCTTGGTGCAAAGCTTCTCACATAAATTAATGTAGGATGTATCATGAAGATATGTGTGCTAATTCTACTTTTCTGGTTGAAGCTTTCCCCATTTTAATTTCATCTCTGACCTAATGCATATTATTTTTAAACTATTCTTTAACACTACACTTCTTCTGGTTGAAGGTCTCACCTTCAGTGCTGACTGTCAAGGGCCGGAAATGGCTATCCAAGACAACAAGAGAACAGGTAGCATCGAAACCAAGTCCTCGAATCTGGGAAATATTGATCCCTTGGATAACTTTCTGCAGGATATGAAAAAAGACATATAATCAAAACCACAAAGTTACACAACAATAAAAATAGCAGAAGCAACCACACAGAAGGATATCTAAAGAGAAAGAAGTGCTTTGGATAGTTATATAATGAGTCATTTTTAAAAGTGGTTTTTTTCCTTAAGCATTTCTTATGTAGATGAGAGCAAAAATGAATTTGCAATATGATGTACACCATTTAAGACTACTGGTCCATCTAGCCTTGTATTGGATATTTGGATAATAACAGTTCTCTGAAGGCTCAGACAACAAAATGTTCCCAGTGAAGCTATTTGTTGAGTTCTAGGGTCAGAGAAGCAGATGGTGAAAACAGAAGAATGGCCTGCCTCAGGGGTGCGTGCTTGCTCCATCAATGCTTAACATTTACACAAATGATCGGCCACTGCCAGAAGGGACAGAGTTTCATCTATGCTGATGATTGTGCTATCACTACTTAAGCAGGGAGCTTTAAAATGGTTGAACAGAAGCTCTCCGAGACTTTAATGTGTGTTTAAGAACAGACAGGCATCTCGAGGGCCGACAGTTACCTGGGAAGGAATCCCACTGGAGCATGGCAGCACACCAAAATATCTGGGAGTTATGCTGGACCATGCTCTGACTTACAAGAAGCATTGCTTGATTATCAAGCAAAAAGTGGGTGCTAGAAATAATATCATATGAAAGCTGACTGGCACAACCTGGGGATCACAACCAGACACAGTGAAGACATCTGCCCTTGTGCTTTGCTACTCTGCTGCTGAATACGCATGCTGAGTGTGGAATACATCTCACCATGTTAAAACAGTGGATGTGGCTCTTAATGAGACAATCCGCATTATCATAGGATGTCTACTCCCTACACACCTGGAGAATTTATACTGTTTAGCCGGTACTGCACCACCTGACATCAGCCGGGAAGTAGCAGCCTGTAATGAAAGGATCAAGGCACTGACATCTCCGGCCCATCCTCTGTTCGAACATCAGCCAGCAAGCGAACTCCCTAAATCAAGAAATAGCTTCCTAAGATCTACAGAGATACTTGCAGGAACACCTCAGCAAGCAAGAATCCAAAAGTGGCAGGTTAAAACCTGGAACCTCAATCAGTGGCTGATACCAGATGAGAAACTCCCCCCTGGGCACAAAGAAGACTGGGCAACTTGGAAGGCGAGCCCCCGGTGGAGCAGTGGGTTAAAGCCCTGTGCCGGCAGAATTGAAGACCGACAGGTTGCAGGTTCGAATCCGGGGAGAGGCGGATGAGCTCCCTCTATCAGCTCCAGCTCCTCATGCGGGGACATGAGAGAAGCCTCCCACAAGGATGATAAAAACATCAAAAATCATCCGGGTGTCCCCTGGGCAATGTCCTTGCAGACGGCCAATTCTCTCACAACAGGAGCAACTCCTGACACGACAAAAAAAAAAAAAACAAAAAAAAAACTTGGAAGGCACTGAACAGACTGCACTCTGGCACAATGAAATGCAGAGCTAACCTTAAGAAAAGAGGGTACAAAGTAGAGTCCACAACATGTGAGTGTGAAGAAGAACAAACCGCAGACTGCTTACTTCTATGCAGTCTGAGCCCTGCCATATAGACGACAGAGGTCCTTCTCACAGCGCTACTAGAGGCACTTGAAGTGGCCAGCTTCTAGTCAAAGGAAATTTAGTATATCACCAAGTTTTTAATTTTGTTTTGTGTATTTTCTATACATTATAACTGTATTCTCAATTTGCTTTTGTCATGATAAAAAAAATTAAGTGAAGCTATCTACAATATTTTTGTGGCCATGCAAATAAAAGGTTATAAGGCCTCCCTGAATCATCAGTGGGTTGTTTTCAACTTTTCAAATGGAGACTGTCATTAAAATTTGTTAAGCATTAACAAAAACAGGGCTTGGCTAGGAAAAGTAAGTGCAAAGGTATGGGAAACCTAAAGGCAAGTAGCAATTTTAATACTAACAGATTCCCAATTGAAGAGCAAGAAAACCCTGAATACAATTATTTCAAGTTAGTGCTTAATAGTATTAACAATCAATTGCTAGTCCCAACTAGAGGAGACCCACTGAATCCCTGGGATCTATATTAGTAAATCAACACTTATTAGCAATTAATTATATGAGCAGAACTACTGAATAGTTAAATCCTAAAAGTGGGGATCACATTTATTTTTATGTTTTTTGTAAAAACTGTGTTGTAATCCAGGTTGGAATAGACCCATGATAAAACATAATTCTATTCTAATTTACACAGAAGTAAGCCCCACTGAATCCAATCAAATTTCCTTATGAATAGACACTAATAGGTTTGCTCTTATGATCAATCTAATTTTCAGAGGTCCCTGTTCAGACTGCTTTTGAATCAAACTAAAATGTCACCAAACAAAATATTCCCTGGGCTGCCACTTGCACAAAGAAGCATCACCACAAAGAAAATGTGAGGGGGATGGTAAGGGTGGATGGCCAAGATTTCCCCTTACTCTATAGTGGCAGGAGGGGGGTGGGCACAGGAGAGAGGTGTAAACCATCCCAGAGACAATCTGGCATTTGTCATGCTGGATCAGTCTCAGGATAAGTCATTGGTGTAGATGTACCCTAAGGGTACATCTTTACTGCAGAATTACAGTAGAGTCTCCCTTATCCAACCTTCACTCATCCAATGTTCTGGATTATCCAATGCAGTCTGCCTCCCGCCTGGATCCACAACTGTTTCAATACATTGCAATGTTTTGGTGCTAAATTTGGAAATACAGTAATTACTACATAACATTACCGTGTATTTAACTGCTTTTTCTGTCAATTTATTGTAAAACATGATGTTTGGTGCTTGATTTGCAAAATCATGACTTAATTGGATGTTTAATAGGCTTTTCCTTAATTCCTTCTTATTATCCAACATTTTCGCTTAATCAACATTCTGCCAGCCCATTTATGTTGGATAAGCAGGACTCTACTGTAGGTGGTTTGTGAAAATCCATCCAGTCAAATGTTTACTAAGGTTTTCACTTTTTCTGAAGGTGAAAACTGATTGACATTCTCATAAACATAAATAGGTCCCAATAATTCATCTTAATTTAATTTAGCTTGTTAAATATATCCAGGCACTAGTTAATTCAATGAGACTAGTCAGATATGATGTGACTTATAAGTTAATTATATTCCAACCACTATGGAGAAAAAATCTCTTCCCCAACATAAGGCCTCAGATGTAGCTACTACTAGAAGCTTTGAATCAGCCAAGCAAAGGTCTTGTTAAATGTGAACAATTTAAAAATATATAATTTACAGAGAAATGGTGTGAAATAATTTTGTAAACAAGCAGTTTTGTCATGCTGATTCCTCAGAGTCCCCCCCCCCCCCCCCCCCCCCGAAGTAATCCCCAATGAACTCATTGACATTTTTTGGGATTTTAGAACGATGTTGTGTCAATATATTTTGAGGAAAGTAGAAAAATATGTATCAAAACATTTCTTTTCAGTAACCAAAACAGCTTCAAAATGAAAGTCACCATTCTGGGCAACCTCCGTCTTACATACATCACTTTTTATATAGGTGCTTAAGGTAAAACCAATTCAAACCAGATCATTATATCACATGGGGAACTTTGTAAGTCAACACTTACAAAAATCCTCATTGGTCCAGTAAGTTTGCTCAGGTTGGCATTAACAATTGGATTTAGCCCCTGCTGCTTAGGTACGTTAGAAAACTTAAATAAAAGTGAGATTGAAGTGGCAATTAAATGTGAGATGAAGAAGAATATTCTGTTTCATTATCTATACAACGGTTGCTCTGGGCCCAACCCATAGCCCTCTGGCTCCTTTAGGACACTCACTGTAGAGCATGGCTCATTAATGTTTGAAGAGACTGATCAATATCAAGAGAACAGTGAACTGTCCAACGACGAATTACCAGGCATCTCATACATATTTAAAGAGAGCCAGCCTCCAAACATTGAGTTGTCCAAGCCCAGAGCTTTTTGCAAAGTGTTAAAGGGCTCCCTAGTCTGATGCTTGCTGCCAATCAAGGTCAGGCTATCCACACAAAAAATCCAAAGAATAGTTCTTGATTAACTAGTGAAACTTTAAAAAAAAACTCCTCTTGGTTAAATTTTAGCTTTCATGTAAAGAGACCTCGCAATCTCCAATGTCATTTTCCAAAAGTAATTCCTTAGAATTATAGTTCTAAGACCCAAAAGATTCACCACTATAGTTATCAGTTCTGAATCTAATGTTTATTTTAGCACTCTTAGTTTTTCTGAGCATTTTTTCTATAGAATTTAGACCAGCATAAAATAGTGTTTGCCTTTCTATACCTCAAATGGGAAATAGTGAGGGGCACTCTAATATCTGCACAAAAGAAAATATTATGAACATCTATTTGCATTCTTTCATTCTGATGAATATAAAGAAGGCAGATGCTGTATACACTCATGTAAGTATGAGTCTAGAAGTCTTAGTCAAAAAAATTGACCCCAAAAACATGGGGCAACTTATCCATTGGGCAATGTCAACACTGTACTTTAACATTTTTTCAAGAAAGGAGCCATGCTCTTCTCTGAACAGAATGGCAGAAAGCAAGAGCTTAGTCTGTTTCAGGGGGACCTCCAAAAAGCATTAGGTCTCTCTACTCTCTCCATGAAAATGCTACATCTGCCATTTTTGAGGCCTGGGTAGAGAAACTGTGGTGCCAGCCAGGGGCAACTGGCCCCCTAAGAACCATCTACACTAACAATATAATCCAGTTTCTGAATGCAGATTATTTGTTTCAAACTGGATTATATGAATCTACACTGAATTATGTGGCAGTTTAGATGGGACTAAGACATTTAATCACGAGCCACATCATATTTCATAACATTGGCCTGAAAACCAGCCCTCAACCTATACATGAGGTCTGATGCAGATATTTGATCTGGATCAAGATCTTGACCTCTGGTTAACAGCTTGTTTATTTTAACTTTGGTTGTAATGTGGGTTATATGCTTATGTGTATGTATTAAATGTGTTTTATCAAATGTTTTGATACAGCCAATGGGCTAATCTATAAAATGTATTCTTACTATACATAAGGTCAATATGGCAATTGACATTTTGTTTCTGAGTGTTACCATGAGAGTCTATCATTTTCTTCCTCTGGAAAGATTGAGCACTTCTCAGAATCACGTTTCTGAATTTTAAAACTTAAACATTCCTGTCCATTTTGTTGACTAAATTAAAAAGAGATGCAAGTCAAGTTCACTCATTTTTTTCAGTGGGATTTTGTTATATCTCATTTTAGAAGGAGCACATAGTAAACAACAGTAAACGACAGAAATGTTTGTGGAAGCAGTAGACATACATATGAGAAAACAACATAGCTGTGTTTGGTATAAGGCATATAACTCGGAAGCTGCTGTTAAATTCTCATCCTGACTGTTTGCCCCTTATATGGTTGCATATGGAATTGGGAAATCCAGATTTCCAGAAATTAGAAACAGACAGAAAACTGGCTGATAAATTTCACATACCCCCACCCCAAATCTTTTATTATTCATATGAGAGAAAACAGCTCAATGTGATAAACAGAACAGAGGATTGACCATTCTCATTAGTCAAGTTGCATCACAGAGTATAGCATTCTATGTCTATGTCTGTACCTTTGTGACTGCACAACACGCAGCCCAGATGTCATTCGAGGATTGCTCATAGTGGTCTGGATGTGGTGCCCAAATTTGAATTGGTTGGTCTGCGTAAGCCACGACTGTCCCAGACTGGTCTACCAAAGCCGCACGGACACTCGCTGTGCCAACATCAATTCCAACATAGTAATTTACTGCTTCCGGATTCTCGCTTTTCATTTTAAACTGACCTTTGGGTGATAAGAAAACAGACGTCAGGTTTTGGAAATATATTTTACTCAGATAAATGTTGAAAACTTCATGATTGCTGTTCACTGTCACCATGGTCACAGGATCACAATGGATTCTCATTGACAAAATACAGTGTTTGGGGACTGATTACAGTTTTGTTACGCCACATGGCAAATATCCTATAAGTGTGATGTAACTACAACAAAAAATTCATCAATTTTTGTCCTCCATTATGCATCACTTATCCTATGAAATAGTTATTACAGTCAAGACAAGAAGTAAGGCTATCAAAAATATCTAGAGTCACACAAACAATATTTTTAATTTTTCCTCCCACAGGTCACACACAAAATTCACAGGAAGATATTATCATTCTTCTCCTTAGTGGAGGTTCCACTGCCATTTAGGCATTCACACCCGATAAATTGGGATTGGAATTTAGGTGTAATGAAAATACCGACCTAGCAGATTAGACTAACACACAAACAAAAGACATTGTGTTTAAAGCAATTCAATCTCTTTGTATATGCCCAACCTTGTTGTCTGTTTACAAATGAATTCATTCCCTCTCATAGCTAATGTAGGATTGTGACTACTTCTTCTCACTAGAATTCCCCAAAGAGGGTTCATTTTTGTACATTTTTACATTGGTTAAGCGCTTTTTATGAGAAAATACTCTTTAGGTATAAACTAAACATAAATACACAATTTATGACAGAGGTGGCATTTTGTCTCACATTTTTACCACTAGCAAAGTTCATATGTTTATCAAATGGGTAATAAGGTTCTGTAAAAATGATGTCTGCACTGCTGACTTAACACTAATCTGTACCTAAAAATGACATTTTTAAAAAAATTCACCTGATATTTCAGTAAATTGTTTTATTGAAGGATAAATAACTTCACTGGCCAAACAACTGCCTGGATTTTTCGAATCATATATACCTACTCCTTCGTATTTAATAAGGTCTTGGAACAAAGACACTATTGTTACTGTTTTCAGCAGTGTGTCAAACATTATCTCTCAATGGTAAAACATTACATTTGTGGGTTTGACCTTTGTGGATTTGATTATTCACAGATTTGATTAACATAGTTTCTCCAGGAATCTCTAGGTCCTCCAATGTGATTTTATGCTTAACTTTCACCAGGTCTTTTTTGGCATTCTGGAGGTTGCAATTCTCTACTGACATCATCTAAATGACTGTGATTCTACCTATCCACCCACCCTATCTGGCAAAAGAAAACAAAACAAAAACACAGTTTCAGCTGAAGAAGCCCTTTCTCCTCGGCCATTTACTAGTGAAGATGCGGCATTAAAGATATGTCTTACTATATGCTATCTCCAAATGCAGAGCAACTGACATCATATACTGAAATCTCTAGGATCTAGAAGAGTGATTCTCAACCTGATGTTTTGGCCTTCAACTCCCCGAAATCCCAACAACTGGTAAACTGTCTGGGATTTTTGGGAGTTGTACGTCAGAACACCCGGGGACCCACAGGCTGAGAACCACTGATCTAGGAAGACAGACACTTCTCCAATGCTTCCCACTCTCCACTGGTCACTACATGGTTATGAAGGAAGGTAAAAAATAAGAGTTTAGGGAACTGAAAGAGGAGACATAACATAGTTCCTCGTGCAGGACTTTTCCACTGGATTTCTGAGGCCCCTTCCACACAGCTAAATAAAATCCCACATTTTCTGCTTTGAACTGAAATATATGCCAGTACATTAATGTCAAAAATACATAGTATGATTTTTCATAGGATTTGTGCTACATTAGAACAGTAAAACAAATATCACTTAAGTAAAATAAACATTAAATATTAAATAACGAGAAAAATAAAATAAGGTGTAAACACTAAACTAATCTGGGAATTTGCTACTGAAACACATCCAATGAGATGACCCAGATATTGTGGGATTTTCTGCCTTGATATTCTGGGTTATATGACTGTGTGGAAGGGCTCTGTGAGACAGGCTCTCAAATTTTACTTTAAATTAAATTCATAATACAGTTGTGATTGTGTCAAACACATGCCAGGAAATTTTATTTTTAAAACTTTTTAACCCAATAAAGTCCTCTTTGATGAATAGACATGCTTTCTCTTTGTCAAAGCTGCCCAAGAGGGTGGCTCAGTGCTTTGTAATTATACAGTCCCCAATACAACTGTATTGTATTTATAACTAACTTTTTATCTAATAATCTAACTTGGAGCTAAGGAATATGATTCAATCTCTGACATTTTTGACATAAGATGTGTCTGAATAATAGAAATCAAGCAAATTGTTTTTAAATATTATACGTTCATTTATTATTCCTTGGCATTACTTCTAATGAGGCCTTTCTGGGTTGTCCAAAGAAAAACACTTCTGTAACTCAATCCAGTTTCCTTATAAAAACATTGTTTGATGCTAAGAAAATTATTCGAATATAATACATCTGGGGTTTCACCTACATGACATCTGGATCAGACCAAACCACTGAAAGCACCAGTGTGACTTTTTTTTTTCCTCCCCTGGGATCACAGCGATGATGCCTCAGAAATGAAGTCTCAACATAATTTTGCTAGAACACAAATAGTCAACAAATTGTAACGGAAGATTTTAATGTTTGGATGATTAATACTACAAGACAAATAAAGGCAAACTAACCTGGAACACTTCTTACCCAGCTGTATAGGATTTAGAATGGAACAAATGGATACAGCGTGAAGATCCAGCTCACACTTTTTATTTGCCAGATCTTAAGCAAGCAGATCTTAAGCAATTCAGAAATACAATAGGCCCTCCACTGTCATGGGTGTTAGAACCCACCATAAAAGTGGGGGAAAGTGAAAAAATGCTATTTATTTTACCTGAGAGAACACCTCTCTAAGAAACTCTAGGGTCCTCCAGCATGTCTCTATGGTCAACTTCTATTAGAGGTTGACCACATCTCACTGGAGGACCTAGAGATTCCTAAAGAGTTGTTCTCTCTAGAAATATTTTAAATCATTCAATGTGACGCTATGCTCAATTTATGATTAAAATTGTTCACAGTCATACTGGAGGACATAGAGATTTCTAGGGACAACATATTAAATTTGTGAATAATCAAATCCCCCAAAAAATTAACTTTTATATCTGGAAAGCAGGTTGTGTTCAAGAAGACCTTTCTCTTCTGGACTGATGCTTAAGTGCCCAGATTACCAAGCTAGAAAAATGTACAATAACAACTACATTTAGACACAGAATGTTTTTAATTGACGTAACTAGTGTGAGAACAAAAACTTGAGATTAGGGTTTTGAAATGTATTGCAAGAAAAAGTTATCAGCAGGATTGCCAACATGCACATGGATCACAAAAGTCTACCTAATTTGTTGTTGTGTATTCATTCAGTTGCTTCCAACTCTTCGTGACCTCATGGACCAGCCCATGCTAGAACTCCCTGTCGGCCGTGGCCACCCTCTGCTCCTTCAAACTCAAGCCAGTCACTTCAAGGATACCATCCATCCATCTTGCCCTTTGTCTGCCCCTCTTCCTTTTTCCTTCCATTTTCCCAAGCTTTCCTGTCTTCTCATTATGTGACCAAAGTATTTCATCTTTGCCTCTAATATCCTTCCTTTCAGTGAGCAGTTGGACTTTATTTCCTGGAGTATGGACTGGTTTGATTTTCTTGCGGTCCAAGGCACTCTCAGAATTTTACTCCAGCACCACAGTTCAAAAGTGCCTATCTTCCTTTGTTCAGCCTTCCTTATCGTCTAACTCTCACATCCATAGGTTGCTATGAGGAATACCATTGCTTTAACTAGGCAGAGCTTTGTTGCCAGTGTGATGTCTCTACTCTTCACTATTTTATCGAGAGTGGTCATTCTTCTCCTCCCAAGAAGTAAACATCTTCTGATTTTCTGGCTGCAGTCTGTGTCTGCAGTAATCTTCACACCAAGAAATACAAAGTCTGTCACTGCCTCCATGTTTTCTCCCTCTATTTGCCAGTTATCAATCAGTCTGGTTGCCATAATCTTGGTTTTTTGATGTTTAACTGTAACTCAGCCTTTGCACATTCTTCTTTCACCTTGGTTAAAAGGTTCATATTGCTGACATTACAATTCAGAGAAACATGATATTTGAAGTAGGGCAGTTAGTAAAATTCCCCATTGATCACTAGGGAGAATATTTAAAAAACAGACAACAATTGTTTCCTTTATGAATCTCCAAAGAGACAGAACTATTTTCCAAATGAAGATTAGTGATCAAAGGTCCACTGTACACTATAAATATTTGGACAGCCCATCAAACAACAATTTGCAGAGCTATTGCTCAACTGTTTTCACAGGAAACCCCATGCTTCCCTTTTTATCCTTGAACAAATATGCTAGTTATCTCCCATTGAGACAATGATGAAAGAAGCAAAATACAGTAATGTATGAAAATCATTTTCATTTAAAAACCCAAACGCCCTACTCTGAGTGTTATTTACATTGAATACACAGCCAAAATAGAGACAACCAAAGCAGCAAAACATTGCTTTGGGCTGTCTGAGAATAAAGTATGCCTGGTTCTCTCCTGAGAGAGTTGCCAGTGATTTGTCTCCCACCTCCCTTACTTTTTGATAGAAGTATAACAATACCAACACATAACAAAACAACTGGATTCAAAGGTAGCTAGCTACACATGCCACATCAATTTGATTATGAACTTTCTCCTGTAAAATATAGAAACCCTAGTAGTGCTCTAGATGAGTCTAACCTTGATTCTATGTTGACATTAACTATACATCCATGTGTCAGTGCACTTCAGTGGAAGAAAGTTTCTTAATTGTTGTCAATCTCCATTAAATACAATAGATCTGCCATGCAGATTCCCTATAACCCTCCCAAGATTCTAAAAACGGGTTCCGAAATCACCAAGGCAATGGCCTATTCCATTTGAACACTTATTCCAAGACTATTGTCCAAAAAGGATCGGAATATACCATAAATCTTGAGTAGTTGTTGAAAGTGAGAAGCACT